AACTTCAGGCCTTTTGTTGGTAGGGTCACTATGAGTCGTGCTCGACTTGATGGAACTAAAGACCAATATATACTATATATAATATATATTTTATATATCACATTATATAGGGAACAGTGGCGGCCTAATGGCAAGAAGCTGCACTGTAATCACGAATGCATATGGTTCTAATCTACCACCTTCTCTGCAGGAGAAGGATGGGCAATCTCCCCCTTGTGTAATTAAATGTCTCTGAAGACTCACTGGAAGACCAGTTATGAGTCGGTTCTGACTCAAGAGTACACAGCAACAGCACATTACATGTAAAAGAGAAACAGAGAGTGCTTTGGTGGCCTACTGAATAGGAATTGTGCCACTAACCCAAAGGCAAGTGGTTCAAATCCTCCGGCTGCTCTGAGGGAGAAAACTGGGCAATCTCCTCCCATGTGACTTACAGCCTCTGGAGGGTCAGCTATGAGTCAATTCTAACTCTACTACAATGAATTTGTTCAAATATATTTAGCACAGTCATTGTTCATTGCTTAGGACAGCCATTCATCTCCCGTCACTACAAAACATCCGCCACTAAGAAGCCAGGCAGAGCATGTAGTGTATTTGTCACATTCCTGAATGATCAAGAAGTACAGTGAAAAGGAATTAAAGATTCTCAAGGCAATAAAAGTCTTTTCCTAAGTCAGTGTCATTTAGTCCAATAAAGAGAATGCTTATTATTTGGTTGTGAAGTGAAATAGAAAAATGGCATTCTGGAAGTTAAAATTGTTGTTGTGTGCCGTCAAGTTGTCTGCAACCCACAGCGACCCTATGTACAGCAGTTCTGAACCTTGCCCTGTCCTGAGCCAGTCTCACTAATTCTGACACACCAACCCCTATTGCCCCAGACACTGTATCAATCCATCTCATCTGGGGTCAGCCTTCCTCTTCTGTGCTGTCCCTCCACATTTCCAAGCATGATGTCTTTCTCCAAGGACTAGTCTCTCCTGGCCATGTGCCCAAAATATGTGAGACAGAGCTTCAAAATCCTAGCCTCCAAGGAGAAAGTTAGTTTCACCCTCTCCAAGACAGACCAATTTGTTTTCTTGGCAGTCCATGGTGTGTTCAAGACTCTTCTCCAGCACCACAATTCAAAGGCATTTTTCTATTAATGTTATCATGGCCTTAGTAAAGTAAAGCTGGTTTTATTAAAGAGACTGAACTTCATGTGTTGTGTATGTGTGTGTGTGTAGATATCAGATGCCTGCTACCATAGAGAAAATTATGTCTTCTGTGCTTTGTTATCCTGTTTGTTTCCTAGGTTAAACAAAATACTTTACGAGTTCGATGGGGCCTTCTCTTAGAAGCCCTCTTCCAGAAGTGGGACAGTGATGCCTCAGGCTTCCTGGATCTGAATACAATTGATGAACTCTTGTTTACGTACAAGGGAGGAATGGAAAAGGAATCTATGAAAAAAGGTAAAATAGGAGACTCTTGTTATTTACACTGTGCTAACACTCTCATTTTAACTGTCCCAAGGACTTCTATCAGGAACACACAAAGCAGAGTTAAAACACTGGTTGTTAGGGGAGCTCTGGTGGCCTAGTGGCAAGAAGCTGCAACTACAATCCCAGAGGTGCACGGTTCAAATCCACCAGATGCTCTGCCGGGGAAGGAGGAACAATCTCCTCCTGTACCAGTCAGATCTGATTTGACGGTACATGCACACAAAAATAATAAAATAAAATAAAAACAAACAAAAAAAACCCACACTGGTTGTTGTGCTATGGATGCACACAGAAGGATCCATCTCTGCTTAGGTGACAGCTGAATGTAATAAAGGATTTTCAAGGGTCCAAATAACAAACCCTTTGTCTGGCCTATTTGAATTCTCTTTTCCTAAAATAAAAAATATGCTTTGTTGGTTTTGTTGTTGTTGTTATTAGCATATCATAAAAAAGCATCTTTAATGCTTATAAGCTTTAAAAAAAGTTTAGAAAGAGAATCCTGGATGAATGTTTTCTCTGAGATTTGCAAAGCAAAATTTCTCCTTGATTGTTCACCTTCATGATAACATGAAGATATTTCTCTAATGTGGCTGAAATACTTCCTATTAAGTTAACAAATAGAGGAAATTACAAAAAGAACTATGATTAATAGTAATAATTTCCAAATTCCTTTTTCTCCCCATATAAATGACCAATGATAGTTGGTTCATTTACACTTGGATGTAATGATAATCAGTTCATTCATGCTTGAGTCTTTAAAGTTAGTGAAACTGTGCTTCAAGACAAACAGTAGTCCAGTTTAGCAGCTAAAAAAACCCATTTGTGTCTCTGCGATTTTACCATTGACACTTGGTCATCCATGAGATAGATTTCAAAGTTGTCATTGTACCTTCAACAGAAAATGAGTGGTGCTACTCCATCTTGTTACCAGACTTTTCCCTCAACTATGGACGTCCCAGGATAGGCAAGGTTCTGGTCTGTTGCTACAGGTCACATCTAACAACAACAACAATGGATGTTCAGCATCTGAGAAAAAACCAATCACTATGCTAGTATTTCCCCCTCTAGGTTACATATCATATCCCCGTGGAGTGTTTTTAAATATACAGGAGTTTTATTTTTTAGGGTTTTTTTAGAAGGGCAACCCAAAAGTATTTAGAGGTGGGATGTTAAAGATGCCAAATATCTTGCAGTACACAAGGATCTTGTGCAATAGGGAATCAATAAAGCCAAAATGCCAAAACTGCACTACTGAGAAAACACTGGACATATAAATTTTGATCTGATACTTCTTTAAATGATAGGATAATCTATGAACTAAATAAAATAAATTTAATAGAAGGTTACAAGTTCTGTGATAACTTGTCCAGGATCAATTAAGAAGAAGGAATTATGAGACTTTTGTACCAGTTCTCTGTTTATTAAATAAACACCTAAAGACAACATCATCTCATATTTTCCACAACTTCCTTTAACTCCCTATTTAACTTCCTATATTTGCCTATTCTCACATACTAGGCGGTAGCAAGGGACAGGAGAAAAATCAAAGCTAAATACTATTAGCAATTGCTAACACACAAATCTGTTTCTGGGAATGACCAGATTAAAGAACGTACCGTTTCCCGGTCCTCTTCTTTCCTTCCACTCAGAGAACAAGCTGATCCAAACTGATGCACACAAATATCTATTTATTCAGTAGGAAAGACAATAATCGCAAGAAATCCTAAATACACAGACATAATCATGTTTATTTCAAAACCACTACCTCTTCAAGGCTAGAGTCACACTTGGGTATTGGTTGTTGCCTTGGTGTGCTAGAGCTTTCGAAGAGTAACTGCTGACCTTATTCATTGGCTGTGGGTTTTGAGGCACAGTCACCAGGTTAGCAACATGAATCAGATTGACTTTTAAGATTGTTAGCCATCCAGGTGATTTTCGAAAGGTTGGTATGAGCCATTACCACCTAAACAGGATTCAGAGCTTCTGCCCAACTGTCAACCTTGACAAGTTATGGACCCTGGTCAGTGAGTAGACAAGGGTAAATGCTGCAAAAAAAACGAGACTGGAGCTGCTCACATAATTGATGTGGTTCTATAAGGTTATTACAAAATTCTGGGGAATGAAAATCTCCCAAAGTAACCAGTCATTGTGAAGGCCAAATTCTTCAGCAGAAGAGCTGAGCAGAAGATTAAGGGTGTTGCGGCGGCTGGGGGAGCACTGTATCCTGGTGGCTTGAGGCTGCATTAATTACATGGAAGTTGGTTAGTTAAATGTTTTTTCATTAAAACTCCTCTTTATCCACAAAATCTTCCTAAACTGTTCCTCAAGGCTTCTCCCAAAGTAGGTTTATTACATACAACACTAGTCTTATTATCTTCAAACAGCAGGCACTGATAAAGGCATTTGTGCAGGCCAGTCTTTGCATAGACTTCGCTTCATTTAGCTAGTTTGTCTTCTTATTTTGAGGAGAAGTATGTAATTTCTCCCTTGAAACTCCTTCTTTCAGCCAGTAATGAAAAGGCTCTTATTTGTCTTGTAACAGTAATTCAGCATAATATTAAGATACTGATGTCCACATCATTTTTTTTCTCACCAAACTTAAAATTAATCCAGACTCTTCATGTGGCCAAGAAGGACCGGTCCTTGGAGAAGGACATCATGCTTGAAAAGGTCAAGGGACAACACAGGAGGGGAAGACCCCAGATGAAATGGATTGACACAGTATCTAGGGTAATGGGGGTAGTAGGTATGTTAGAGACAGTGAGACTGGCTCAGGATAGGGCAGGATTCAGAGCTATTGTGCATTGGGTCACTATGAGTTACTGGTGACTTGACGGCACATAACAACAATCCTATAATTCTCATTCCTACCTGTTGTTTCATAGGGTCGCTATGAGTCGCCTGCGACTCGACGGCACTTAACAACAACAACAACAACCTGTTGGTTCTTAGTTTTACCCCTTACTATAGACATCTTAACCCTCCAACAAGGAGGAGCTCTGAGGTCGTGATCCATAGTGAGTTGTGCTGGTAACCCCAAAGCCAACCATCTCCACTGGTTCAAATCCACCAGTGATTCCACAGCAGAAAGATAAGCAGTCTTGGAAACTTGCTGAAGGTCACTGTGTGTAGGAACCAACTCAACAGCAATGAGATTGAGTTTGGAGTTGAGTTTGGAGTATTAGTCCTTCAAAAAAATTTTGTATTATCAAACAACATTATTGTTATCATACTCCAGTAAAAATTGAATAATGATAATTAAAAACAGTTGTGGCAGTACCTCAAAAGGGGACCAGTATAAAGTTGAGCAAATTCGGAAGAGGATTTCATTATTGATGTCAGATCAGTCTTGGCTGAAAGTAGAGAACACCAGAAAACTGTTTACCTCTATTTTACTGGGTGTGCAAAAGTGTATGTATGGATCATAACAATGAATGGGTAGCATTGCAAAAAGTAGAATTTAAAAACACTTTAATCGTGCTCATGCAGAGTCTGTATATAGATTAAAAATTCATCATTCAAACAGAACAACAGGACACTTCATGGTTTAAAATCCGGAAAACTGTGTGCCATAGTTATATCCTTCCACCGTACTTTTTCAGTCTGTGTGTTGAGCAAGTAATCTGAGAAGCTGGACTACATGAAGGAAGCATAGCTTGAGGCCTGGAGGGAGAGCAGCTAACAACCTGTGATATGCAAGTGTCACAGCTTTGCTTACTCAAAGTCAAAAGCTTTTTTGAAGTACTTCCAGATAACAATCAAAGATTATACACAGCCATCAGTATTGCTTATACCTCAACATTAAAGAAACAAAAGTCCTCACAACTGAACTGATAAACAACATCATGAGTAAATGGGAAAAAATACTGAAGTTGTAAAATACTTCCTTTTCCTTAGACCCACAATAAATGCTCAAAGGAGCAGGAGTCATGAATACAAGCAACCTTTGTGCTGGGAATATTTTCTGCTAAGAACCTCTTTAAAGTATTAAAAAGCAAAGATCACTTTGAGGGTAAAGGGGGAAGATTTCATGGGAAAAACAATATATATGAACTTTGTAGCTCAACTAGTATAAAATAAAACAAACAAAAAGAATTGGTTTTGAAGAGGGCTAATTATAAGTAACAAGTTCGATTAAATAAACATGTTTTTATAAACAAAAAAAAAAAAAAAGCACACCTGAACCAAGCCATAGCATTTTAAATTGCCTCATATCCATGGGAAAGCAGGACAATGAATATGGAAGACCAAATAAGAATAGATTATTTTGAATGATGGTTCTGGGAAAGAATGTTAAATTTATCTTTGGCTGTTAGAGGAATGAACATTCTGTTTTGGAAGAAGTTAGAAAATTCCTTACAAGTGAGCATGATGAAACCATCTCATGTACTTTGAACACAAGGACGTCATGCTCAATAAAGTAGAGAAAGAGGAATATTCCCAACAAAATGACTGCAAACAATGAATTTGAGCAGAGTCGTGATTGTGAGGAGGGCACAGGAACAGGAAGTGTTACATTCTATTGTCCACAGGGTGGGAGGCTCTGAGTTGGAACTGACTTAACTGTGCCTAACAACAGCAACAAGCTCTGAGTGGATAGTGGAGGTAGATAAATACTAGCAGCAGAGAACAGAGATACTTTTTAACTGCAGTGTCTGAAAATTCTAATAGGCGAGACAATGGGGATGTGCAACAACATCATTGGTTTCTTACACTAATTTGATTACAGTCAGCAAGAAGTGGTAGTATAACCAGAAGTTCACTTGAGCATGAAACATAAATTATTGTAGCTCAGTTTTAAGATATTTTCTTATATTAAAAATTTCTTGAGAATCCATTAATTGACAGCATGTCACTGTGATTGTTCAGTGGCCTGACATTCATGTTCCTGTTCAGTCATAACATAATACCCGTTGCTTTAGCATGTGTGAGCTTGTTATTCCTAATGGCATGCTGGTCAACTGCATTTC